TCGTACTTTAACTGCCGCTCGTACTTTAACTGCCGCTCAACCATTCAGTTACCTGTTACCTCCGAGCTCACCCCATTCGTTTGGAGAAAAAATAGCGTGTTGCATACGAAGTAGAAGCACTTTTTTGTGCAAGCACTTTTTTGTGCTTCAGCAGTATTGAAAGCCTCACTACGTTTGGCTCGCAAACCTACTGCTTCAGCACAAAAAAGTGAAGCTTCTACTCCTAATACAACAATATACTATTTTTGTCAAAATAATGAGTGGTTCTCGAAGGCTTGAAATAAACTTTTTTGGGCGTGGCACCCAAAAAAATCTTCTGCCTCCGGCGGCGCCTAAGGTGGGCTACCCTTTAGTGGTGTCCGGGTTTGAGGGGTTAGAATCCGGGGTTTTTGTAAAAATTGACCTAGGTAACAAATTTCATAAATGGCAGCCCTATTTGTGCGCAGCTTTACACCTTTGGTTTTGCAAGAAACAGTAAAATCATTGGAGCAATACTCACTCCCATTATCACACTGGATTGATCCAATCCTGTATCCAGTTAAATTTGTCATAAACGCCTAATATTCTTTGAAACAGTTAAATGTGTCACTTATTTGCTATAAGATAAATGACGGTAAAATGGTGAAATCATCAAGAGAGGTAACAAAATATTTTTTGTAATTGTGTGTACTATATAGGATTTATTGGTCCACATACATGTCTGACAAGTCAACATCTTACAGCAAATTTTAATGCCATAGAATGAAATGCCTAGAAAAAGTAGGTAACGATAACAGCAAATGGCAAACATATATCAGTTTCTTCAAGTGTTGCTCCTACGGACTTCAATTTCCTCATGCCAACCACATATCATGAGATGTTGGTTTATCATTCCAAACTTTTCCACGGCGAAATCATTTCCCGAGTTTGAGGCCATCTTCCACACTTGTGTGTTTGTTACTTATTTCCAAACTTATTACAATTTTGGTTTCTGAGCCCATAACCTGATGGAATCTTTGAAGCACCAAATATAAGTTTGTGAATGTAATAGAAAAACACGATTACTTACTTTTGAACAACGCTTTACTTCATCTCATGAAACTTACAAAACTTGACCATAGAGAAAACTTGACTAACTAATTGATATTAGACATTGACAGACCTTACTAGTCGACTACCTACATCTACCTATACCTGCCTATACTATGGCTTTTTGATTGTAAATCTAACACTCTTTATGCGCATAAGACGTAGCAAATCAGTTGTTAATTTTTTTGAAGGGTGTGCTATTGCAACCCTTGCGTGATTTTGACCAGGTGTATTTCAACGGGCCAAATGTTGTCTTTTCGACCATTTATCCAGTGTTGGCTTTATCCTTTACCCCTTGGATCGATATTCTAAGACTGAGTCTGGGGCCTATAAATGGCGTTACAGCTCCTGCTCTCGCCAGCCCATCTGCTTTTTCGTTGCTCTCTATCCTCAAGTGGCCAGGCCAGGAACTCATAGTCGAACCTTGTTTTCAAGCTTGTTTTCCTTAGCAAGCTGCTTTAGGTCAGTGAGCCATCGTCATTCTGGAAGTGATGCGATAGGAATCCAGCGCTTTTAGTGCTGCTTGGCTATTTGTGAAAATAGCTACATTTTGTTGGAAGCACGCATGAATAGCGAAGACATGTTTGATATATGTATAGTGGTTTCATTAGTTAGTGATATGCTGACATTTATTTTGGGTCGGTCGTCGGTCCTTATTATGCCTCCACTCCGTTTGCCGTTTTTGAGCCGTTGGTATACATAACTTGTCGATTAGGCAACAGAGGGAGCGTTTTTTTATCCCGCCTGTTAAGGTCGCACTCAATCCCATACTTTCCGCACCTTGTGCTGAACAGTTTTTTTAAATTTAAAAAGTTTCGTTTTTTTTTTAAATTTGTAATGGAGTTCCGTAACAAAATTGAGGGGTCATCATGTACCATCATATTTGTACACCATTCTACAGTACCCACATATTTCAAAGGTTCTGTAGATGTTGCACAAGTCTTGTACAGGGTGGTCCAAATTGGACACTTTCTTATGGAAACACTCTTTATTTTTAAAGATGCTACAGAAAAGTTTGTGCTAGTCAAATATTTTTATTTAATCCTCTAGGAATCATTCCAATAAAGAACTTAAGTTTCTTTCACCAATACACATTGAATATTGAGGTACTTTGACTATTTCAATAATAAAAATTGTATAATAATATTTGATAAGAGAAACAAGTAATTTCCTGTTTTTTGTTATTTATCCTCCAAATTTCGCATACAGCCTTAAAACATCGTTCTAATCACTTTTTCCGAATGACTTTTTTCGAAATTTTGCCATCTAACCCTACTTTTCGTGTTTCCATATCTAAATTTTCGAATTTGCCGCCACAACAAATGTACTTTTAGGTTATCGGACATGCAGGATCGATCGCACATAAGAAAAAATTCCATATCCTACAAATAAAAAATTTCCCCATTATGTAGCGAACATTATGGGGGAAACCTCGGGGGACACTGTATAAGGTGCCCTATTGAAAAAATCGGATTTTGTTCAAAATCTCGAAATCGGAGCCAAATAGAAAAAAACTGAGAACGTCACTGAATTTTGCTTAGAAAAGTGCTCCAAGAAAGTCTTTACGGAAATCAATTATTTTCATAAACAAAAAAGTTATGAAGGTTTTCCAGTACCTATTTCTCAAAATCGAGAATAGGAGTGGCACGCAAAATGCGGTTTGCACCAATCATAATTTCATGAAATTTGAGCTTCAGAGTGGGGGGGCCAATTTTTTCTATCCCCAAAAACAAAAGGTGTTTCTATGAGAAAGTGTCTAACTTGGACCACCGTTTACAAGTCTTGTAGGTCTGCTGAAATCCTGTACAGACATGTAGAGTACTGTTCAAGTAGGTACTGTAGACGAGATTGTATAGAGTACCGTAGAGTCCTGTATAGCATTGCTTTGAAAAGTTTTAACTTAGGTAATTGCTCATTGCTCATATTCTAGATTGATATTGAAAATCATAATAAAAAAGTTTGCATGAAGATTGTTCACAAACACTTATAAAAACTGTTGAAGATCTAAAAAAAATGGTTTTCGAAAATATCCGAGGTATTATCTGAAAAACTCTTTGACGGAAGTCAATCAAATTTCCAGGTGATTTTTCATTTCTCAGAATAAGCCAGTAGCAACTACTTTTCCTTGATTTTATAAGAGGAATATTCCCCAGGCTTTTGGTCAAACTTTTGTCAATCAAATTTGAAAACACCTGTGTATTAACATTTGAGAAAAAAAATATACATATACTACTAGCTGTACCCTACGAGCATTGCTACGCCTCTCCGAAAACAACTGTTCCAAACTAAGCAACTAACCCAAACTATCCCATGCTAATCCAATCTTTACACTAAAGATCTATTCCACAGGAATTGTGCATTTTTCCGGGATAAAAAGTAGCCTTTAACACTCCCCTTTATATAGAGACTATGTGGTATAAATTTCAAGAAGGACGGTTCAGTGGTTTCCGAGTCCATAAACAACGAACAAAAAAAAACATTGATTTTTATACAGGGTGTCCCAGCCGAGAGTGACCCATTTTAAATGCTTATAACTTTTAAACCAGGTATGCTAGCTACCTGCGGTTTGCGTCATTCGACTTCTCTTGGCCTAAAGTTTTTTTTAGTAGGTTGCAAATTTTTTTGCCTCTCATACAGAGCGAGTACAAAAAAATCCGTTTTTCAACATCGACCTCGCAATTCGGATGTCCCCGACGTCCACGTTTGGATTGGCTACGCCACTGCACTGAGACCAGCATAGATCTATGGTGTCGTCATTCTGGGTGCTTCAGTTGATAGGATTCTTGCTCAAAGCACCACATCCAGCTTTAAAGCTTTTATGAAAGCAAGTAGTCTGGAAGGTTCTATGGGAATTTCTTCCTGTCTAATGGTGCAGCATCTGAAGCAGGCCATTCTCATGTTCATGATCGCCTCGTACTCCATGAGACGGTGTTCAGGGGCCCGATTCTCGTCTCAGGGAGAGGTGAGTTCCCTGAGCGAGACAACAAATTTTTTGTCTTTATCATTCACGTTTACATTTCGATTACGTTGACAAGGTCAAAACATTTTCTCTCAGGGAGCTCCACTCCCCCGGGACGATAATCGGGCCCCTGAGTTTCCTCCCCTTCCTCACAGAACCGCCACCTGTCCTCGTTCTCGATTTAAATTATCTCAAGGTGCCCTCTTAACATGCAGTGGCCTGTAAGGAGTCCAGTGAGAATGCAAATATTGTTTTTACTCAGGGACTTCCTTGACGAGGGGCCAAAGTAAAGAAACATCTTTGATTGTCGTAATCCTGGAAGTTGTTCCCAGAGGCTGATCCATATGACCTGTATTTATGCTCTGAATTTTGTCAATTGGTCTGGTTTCTCATTGCCTTTGATCCCTGTGAGTCCCGGTATTCACTGGAGGGATAGTTTGGTATTTTTGCCCAGTTTGTTTAACTTGTCCGGGAATTCCCAAGCCATTCTGAAGCTGATTATTGGTGAGGTCAGAGCTTAAATGGCTGCTTGGATGTCTGAGAATATGTCAGTTTCTCTCTTTTTGTTGTTTCTGTCAAGATTGAACTGAGCGCATCTACTTATAGCGTCTATTTCTTCCTTAAATATGTCTAGGTGTTGTCGCATTGCTTTGGAGAACTTGATTCCAGGCTCAAGTACTCCGGCCCGGTCCCTTATTCAGTTCTTGACCCATCAGTATACTAATTTATGGCGTTTCATTATCATTCTTCTTTGCTTCTTATCACTACTGTGAAGCTATTCTCAAAATTATATGTTTTGATCATATCATCCCTGGGGAGCTCGAGGAGCGGAATAAGCTTGGTTAGAGATGCCAGTTCTCACCTTCCAAGTTCCAGCTTCCTCAAAGAACTCCTATACCGAGTCACATCTCCTTGCACTCCGTCTAATATGAAGCAAATGGACCTTAATGGAAAAATAATTGGTATTTTTCAGTATGTTTCATTCGTGCGGATGTTACCAATATGACAACAAGCCGAGTAACTAGATTTGCTTACTACCTGAGAAACTTACTAGCCACTAGCGACGTAAGCATAATGGAGTTAGTTGCTAAAACCATGCCCAGTTTAGCATTAGTATCTGGACCAGAGGCTTCCAAGTATGTAGCGTTTGAAGTAAAAACTGCTTTGGAATGGCTCAGCGAAGATAAGACAGAAGTAAGTACTCAAGTTTTAAATTCCAAAAAATTTATTCCTGTTTTTTTTAAGCTTAAACGCCATGCAGCAGTATTGGTCCTCAAAGAATTAGCCACAGCCCTTCCTACTTACTTTTATCAACAAGTTTCATCATTTTTTGACTCGATATTTACTGCCATCCATGACCCAAAGCAGGCTATCAGGGAAGCTGGCATAGAAGCATTAAGGGCTGCTTTGGTCATAACTGCTCAGAGAGAGAATGCTAAGGACAATCAAAAAGGCGCTTCATGGTAAATACTCTTTCACTCTAAACACTAACTTACTTGAGATTTATTTTAAAATAGGTATAAACAATGTTATGACATGTCAGGAAAACTATTATCAGTTGATAAAGGCGAACGTATTCGAGATGAACGAGCCCATGGCTCTTTATTGATCCTCAATGAATTGTTGAGATGTTCCAATGTAGCTTGGGAGCGAAAATATATGGTTTTGCAAGAAAGTACCAATCCCAAACCAATTTCGTCCGAAGACGATTTCAACTTCACCAGACCGCCTTTTATGTTATCGATGCATTCAAAGAAAAAGGCGAATAACATCATGTCATTGACGCATATCCAAGATAAACCAGTCGTTATTGAATCAAGTATTTGCCGTTTATTGGTTGCTGAAAAATTCGAATTTATTTGTATTGATGTTTTGGCACAAAGGTACGTAAGCGTATTGTGTTTTGAGCTAAGACTTTCAAATTCTTATTTATTTAAGTAGTACATAGATTTTAAATGCTGTGGAATTTCTGTTTTCAAATTTAACAAATCATCTACTTCATTAATACATTTTCAGGTCATTAAGAGTCAATTTCGTTCAGCAAACTCTACTGGCCATATTACCAAGACTGGCAGCATTCAACAAGAAAACCTTTGTCACCCGAAATTTGCCTAGCGCCATGAGTTACTTGTTCAACATTCTCAAAGGCCGAGAAAAGGATAGAAATTCTGCCTTTATAACTATCGGTCTTATAGCTGTTGCAGTAGAAGAAGAGATCGATCCCTATGTAGAGAAAATAATGGAGGTTATCAAAGCGGCTTTACCAAAAAGTGATACGCCTAGCAAACGACGTCCTGTAATAGACAGTTGCGTATTTAAGTGTATCACTTATTTGGCTTTGGCAATAAAGAAACATGATAAGATGGAGATACCTCAAATATTAGACCAGGTAATTTATGTATGAAAATACTAAAAAATGATGAAGGGTCTAGTTTTATTTATTTTTAAATTTGTTCCTGGCAGCTGTCTTTGTTTCCCTGCATGCTATTTCTTTTTGTAGTACACTATACCATATCATGTGAAACACCATTTTTCGTACATCTACTTCAAAGTTATTTAAATTAATCTAGCTATACCTTTTACGCTATTGTTTTTATCTACCCATATCGCTTATTATTCTCTTCATCCAGTCCTGTCTACATCTTCTTTTTTGTGTTCTTTAAATAGTAATATCTTCTGTTCACCATCTGGACACACTTTCTCTAAATTTTCTACCACAGATTATTTGAAATATATTATTATTCCTCCTTCATGTTTTTCTTCTGCTCCTTTTTCTGTTGCTATCCCTTTTTAATGATGACATAACAAGTTCTAATTGTACTGTTTTATTCTCTTGAATTCATAAAAAAGATGTTGGCCACAGGACTAAGCCAATCTTTAACTATTTGTCTTCGGGAATTAGCAAAAAAGGTACCAATTCACAAGGACAAGATAAGCCTGGGTCTGCTCAAGATACTTTCGTTTATCCTACTGAATAAACCTCTGCTGCATCCTGGCATGCCTAGGAATCTTTCCAATTTTGGTGCTATGAATTTGGGCATTGACATCAACGATACTCAGTTGATTGTACTGGCTCTTCATACTTTAGGTGAGTATCTACTGATTGAATTATCATAGACCTCCAAGAGTAGTGCAACGATTAAGTAATTATTAAATATCTAGCTAAAATGCTGGATTATTTTTACGCAGGTACATTCGACTTTGAGGGACAGAAGCTTCTTCCGTTTCTGCAAAGATGTGCTAATTATTTCCTGATTCATGAAGTCACTGAGATCAGATTGGAGGCAGTCAAAACGACTAGTCGGCTGTTGCGGCACGCAATCAAGAGTGACAATAAGAATCCTAGTGATACTGTGTCTAGAACTGTCGCAGACGTTTTACAAAAGTTATTAAGTAAGATTTTTCATTATCAAATTGAATAATAATTATTGAAGTTTAAAGTTTCTAATAGCTATTTGATATTTGATACAAGAAGAGAAACCATTGGTTTTGTTTCAATATTTAGTTAACTTGCATGGTCCAACATCTTTGTGAATTTTAATATACAAAGTGGAAACACATAAAAACAATGCCACAATATTGGGTGCTCAACCATTATTAATTATTAACCTTCGCTTTTATTTATAGGTGTGGGTCTCATTGATAGCGATGCCCAAGTTCGCTATGGTGTCTTAACATCCTTAGACCCAACATTCGACGACCATCTGGCACAGCAAGATTCACTGGAATTCTTATTTGTTGCTTTGCAAGATGAAGAATTCAAAATCCGAGAGGTAACACTCTTCATAATTGGAAGACTTAGTTGTATGAACCCATCCTATATCATGCCAAGCCTGCGCAAAGTATTAGTGCAGCTATTGACAGAGCTGGAACATTCCGGCAGTGGCAGAAACAAGGAGCAATCAGCTACTATGCTTGATCATTTAGTTGTCAGAGCACCAAGGTTGATTAGGCCGTATATGGAACCTATGTTGGAGGTTAAAATAACAAACACAGTTTTTGATTTTGCATTCAAATAAGTGTTTTGTAGGTTTTGGTTCCGAAGCTGCGAGAAGCCGACCCAAATCCTGGTGTGATCCTTTCTGTGCTTTACACCATAGGGGACCTAGCAGAAGTTACAGGGGGCGATTCAGAGCTTCAAGTGTGGATGCACGAGCTAATGGTTATTCTCCTTGAAATTCTAGTAGACGCTTCAGTACCCGATAAAAGATGCGCCGCTTTAGTTACTCTAGGCCAGCTAGTGGGAGCCACTGGTCATATAGTTAGACCCTATAGCCGATATCCCACGCTATTGGATTTGTTGATTAACTTTTTGAAAAATGAACAACATCCATTTATTCGACGTGAGACTATTCGAGTTTTAGGACTTTTAGGTGAGTTGAATTCGGTCTTTTTTTAACTTTTGGTGATAGAGATTTGGTTATTCCAAGAGAAGGTTTTTGCCTGCCATTGACAAAAAATGAGAAATTGACATATCTCATTTCACATATTGTTTGCCCAGCGGATCTGAGTCTACGGAAGGAATTCGGACATAAATGTGCCATGTTGTCACGTTTAATTATAAAAAAAGCGAAAATACTAGGCATGAAGTATAGTTCATTTGAAAATCCATTTTTTAATAACAAAATATTGATAACAATAACAAAACGCTAAATATTTTAACGTGGTTGTTAGATCTATTCTTATTTTAATCCTGATTTCTTCAATTTGGTCTATTGTAAAAATAAACATTTTCTAAAGGATACCATCAGCTTTTGACAATTTGGCAAGCATCCGGCCTGGATGAACCTGATTGGTGGAGTTTTTGGCATGATTACCGTTGCCAGGAGGAACCATGCGGTTGTCAATGGGTTAACGTCACCTTATGTCTCGCTATTGGCCAGGGCTTACATCATTTTATCCTCCCATCTTGGAATATCGATTTATATTGAAATATCCAGTGGCGGAGGTTTGGTCATTGTCGATTTTCGTATACGAGTTGCAATATGACAACACTTCCAAAAAGTTTCGCACGCAGTTGGGTATTTTATGAATGAAATCAGCCATTTTTTTTACAACTGCATTCCCCTCACCGTTGCCCCGTAGACACAGAGTCGCTGGGCAGACATTAGGTAATGAGATGCAACATTCCGCCCCCCTTGGAATCTTTTGACTTTCAACATTAGAAAATAAGTTCAGGTCAGATTTTCCTATTCAAGGGGTAGCACACAAATTTTTGTAGTTCCGTTAAACGACACCCTTCAATGTTTTTATTGACTCAACGCTACACTTATTGTCTTTGCCTGGATGTAAGTCTACGATTTCGCCTAGACGCCAATCCAATACAATGGAGGCACATTACTTTCTTTTATGACAACCATATCGTTCCAACTTCAAACCATTTTCAGAATGGAACCATTTATTTCTTTATTGTAGCTGTGTCAAGTAAGTACTCCAAACTCCATTTATCTCAAAATGATTGGAACATCTGGGTGAGCAGCTGATATCTATTTAACCGACTCAGGTTTATGTCCCGTAGGTTCTTTTGCGGCAAAGAAAACATAGACTAACACCATTAAAAAATGACCTGGAGTATGTTGAGGTCATCTGGATTTTCGGAAATAGGAGTAAGAGGCCTAGAATTTAGGCATGATTCCACTTGGATAGGTATGGTCTCAAACTCCTCATAAGTTAATTTTTGAATACCAACTACTCTTCTAATATGATATTTGGCCGACTTTATTACTGATTCATAAATGCCCCCGAAATGTGGCGAGCGTGGTGGAATGAAATGCCAACGCATATTCGAATTTGTGAAAATTTATTTTGGGTCTTTGAATCACTTGAATCAGACAAAAAGGCAAAAAGCTCCTGTAGCTTGTTGTTACAACTAACAAAATGTGTGCCATTTTCACATGCTAGTACAAAGTCCCCTTCGGCCTATAAAGCGTTTAAAACAATTCAAAAAACTTGATGTGGATAAGTAGTGGACAAGTACACAAAGGCACAAAAATAGGCCTTAATTGTTCGATAACCCCTAAGTTTCCAAACTTTAATATCAAAAGGTCCAGCGTAATCCACCCCACAGTAACTGAACGGCCTGCTTGGTATTACCCTTTCCCTAGGTAGGTTATTACCGTAATGAAATCTTGTGGCCTTGCCCTAAAAAAAAGTGCAAAATTTCTCTAATAAATTCTTCCCTGATGTAAATTCTGTGTTTTTTTCCCAAAGCTTAAGTTAGCTGAAATGAGGCGTTCTCCCACACTTAACACTCCATTTTGGCCATTAAAGGCAGCTAATAAATTTAATTTGCTGTTTTAGATTTATTTTTACCATGTTTAAGTGTTAATTTCGAAAAGCTTGTTGAATACATCAAAATTATCTGTGATTAGAAATACCTGTTTTGCAACACGCCGCTCTTCTAAATCTACTAAAATCGTATAATTTTTATGCTTGCCCCAATCGTCACCATCTTATAAAAACTTATATCCCTTCCACCAAATCTCCAATTTTACTAGAATCAGAGAAAACATCAGCAGTATTGTTCTCAGATGCCACCACTACCTCATATTTTTCTATTAACTTTAATATTTCAGAAGTCCTATTTGAAACGAATACTTTTATTCAACTGGCTCACTCGCTAGAAAGAACAAAACAATCGTCGAGTCAGTCCAGAAACAAACCCTATCTGGTGTAAAAAGTACAGATTTCAAGACCTCTGAACCCAATCTAGCAGCAAGTAAATCGCCGCATAACTCTAGCCTAGGCAATGATACCACCTTTAGAGGTGCAATACGCGATTTCGAGCATGAAAGACTACAATAAACCTCTTCCTTACTATTGACCGCTCTCACATAAACACATACTTCATATGCCACCTGAGACGCATCTGGAAAACAGGAAACATTTTTCAAAATTTTAGCTTTCTCCACCGTGTTCAAATTCAAATTGTTCATTGATGTCAGTACCTTATAAAGGTTTACACACGACGAATAAAATAAGCTTAAATTTAGTATAATTGCAAAATAAATATTACACATTGGACACATTGTATATTGGGACAATGATAGCTGGTTTAAAGCAGGTCGGAAACACAGACTCTCTCAAGCATAAGTTTATTAGTTTTGTCAGAGGAGTTACTAACAATTCGCGTGTCATTTTTATGAGTTTAATATTCACTCCAAAAATATCTCTGGCGCCAGTAGCGTCTTTGTTTTTCAGATTTGATATGATGTCCCTAACTTCATTTATACTAACTTCTCTAAACACCAAAGATATATATGTGTGCCCCATTTCGGCTAGAATTTTCAATAAGTCTATCATTGTACTTTTTTTTGTAGTTCTAAGAGCTTTTCTGTAGGGTAAGGTGGGGCACGTTCCGGATGATTTTTTCAAACTGCCATATTTTTTTATCCAAGTCGAACTAAACCGAAAAGGAAATCGCGTTGTAAACCTTGAGGTTACTCCTAATATATAAACAATATATTTCTTTAAAATGTTCAAGGGTTACTTGATAATTAATTATTTTTCTAAATGAGTAGATATGCCGAATCTGCCCCATTTGGGGTAGGTGCGGACATGCCATGGGGTACATTCGTACTTAATGGGGAAGGTTCGGGCAAAGCTTTTAAAGTTCAAGTTATTTTGTTTATACGAAGATATCTTAGATAAAAACTCAATTTAATTATAAAAAAAAACTTTATTCAAATAATTTCCACCTTAACATTAAAATAACGATAATATAAAATTCTCTTTTTTGTAGAAAAATTGACCAATAGGTAATCACCACATTCTATTTTATCGCTGTCAATAAGTTGATCAGGTTTCATTATTTCTTCTGGGTCTGAGTCCATGTCTGAATCGGAATCTAAAAATTTGTTTTTCTTTGTTATATTATTGAGCAAGTCTATATCGGACTCAGATAAAGAGGTATCCAGATTTTTTTATCCTCAGGGTTTGCTGCACGAAAGTCATCATCATCCAGTTCCCGTTTTCCAAACTGTGGTATTTTGTTTGACCCCGAAAGTTGATCATCCATGTAAAAATCTCCTAATATAGCCCTAGACGCTTCTCTATAATCACCTCAAAAGTCTTCAGCTAGCTGTAAATACTAAACATCGTACAGACAAAAATGAAGCCGGACCTGTTCCATAAGTCACCATGTTGAACTTATACAGGGTGAGTTACTAAGCGTGCGGTGGTCCATATCTCCTATACTAACAGAGATCGAAGAAAAAAGTAAATACAATACTTGTAGATAAACATGAGTACTACGTTCCTAAATTATTTTCCAGTATAGGGTCAACTGGGGTAAATGTGAAAAGGGGTAAATGAAAATATCGTCTATTTTCTGGCTAAGAGTGAATTTGACCTAAAATTGACAATACTATCCGCATTTTCCACGTTTTGTTTAGCCAAGGGTGGATTTTGAGGTTGAAATGGCAGTTGGTTCTGAAATGTGGCCGTGTGAACATAACAGTGCAGTTTCAACTGAAAAACAGATTTGTGAAGGTTTTTTTAGAAGTGAATTGCTGACCCAAAAACGGTAACAGTGATTCGAATTTTGGTTTAGGTGATTGTTAATGTCATACTTGCTTAGTTTTAAACAAAAAACTAGAAACATTTTGCAAGTAGTAACCTACAAAATACTATTTACATTTACCCCCAAAGAATTTAGTGTTGGGGTAATTGTAAATCCTAAAATGGGGTAAATGTAAATGCAAAAATTTCGGTAATCAGGTAGAGTGAGTGTCCTTACCACAAAATTGCGTGATATGCCAAGTCCTAATTCGAATGCTAACGATCCTGATCAGCCACCTGACGATTCTACACCTATTAAAGACATACACACATCCACCACCACATTGACTTCCAACACAATAGTTAGCATATTTGCTGAGCAAAGTAATAGTTACATTAATGTGTGACATTAACCAATCAAATGTTAAAAAGGTACAGAGGCACCACAAAACAAATGTATAGCGAAATTTTAACTACCCCACAGGTTCTAGAGAAAATCGAAACTGCTCAAAAGTTAAGAGATGAAAAGAAGGGGACCAATAAAAAGCAAAAAGTTAAGAATGAGAATGGGATTAAAAAGGCATATGGTAAGAAAAGAAAGGTTGTTCATGAGAAGAAGAAATTCAAGAAGAACTGGTAGAGGAATCGGCTATGTGTCAAGATGACTCTTCTGGTGAAGATTTATTAGAGTTAGTCATTACTGAAATCAATAAGTGAAGTTGAATATCATAAACCAGTTTGGAATGAATTTAAAATAGGGTTGTTTGTATTAGTATTTTTTCACGGAAGACAGAAAAATAAAATCCATTATGAGTAAGTTTGTTGTATACAAAACATCGATCAAGAAGAAGGAGATGTTACTGTTCAAGGGTTT